TAAAATCTTTAAAAAAAAAAAAAAAAAAAAAAAAGGGGGCCGGCGCCGCGGCTCACTAGGCTAATCCTCTGCCTAGCGGTGCCGGCACACCGGGTTCTAGTCCCAGTTGGGGTGCTGGATTCTGTCCCGGTTGCCCCTCTTCCAGGCCAGCTCTCTGCTGTGGCCAGGGAGTGCAGTGGAGGATGGCCCAGGTGCTTGGGCCCTGCACCCCATGGGAGACCAGGAAAAAGCACCTGGCTTCTGGCTCCTGCCATCGGATCAGCGCGGTGCGCCGGCTGCAGCGCGCTGGCTGCGGCGGCCATTGGAGGGTGAACCAACGGCAAAGGAAGACCTTTCTCTCTGTCTCTCCCTCTCACTGTCCACTCTGCCTGTAAAAAAAAAAAAAAAAATAAAAAAACTGACTTACCTACTCTGTTGGATAAGCCATTTATTATGTAACCTGAGTAAGTTAATTCCTGTTGCATTTTGCTGTGAAATGAAGATAACAAGTGGCCACTTGGGGTCAGTGTTGTGCAACATGTTAAGCTCCCACCTTCAATGCCAACACCCCAGAGCACCAGTTCAATTCCTGCTACTCTACTTCAGATCCAGCTTCCTAGTGCACTTGGGAAGGAAGCATATAATGGTCCAAGTACTTGTGCCCCTGCCAACCACGCAGGAGACCAGGATGGAATTCCTAGTTCCTGACTTCTGCCTGGTCCAGACCTCTCTGTTGAGGTTATTTGGGAAATGAACCAGCAGATGGAAGATCTCTCTCTCTCCCTCTTTCTGTGTTGCTTTCAAGTAAAAAAATTTTTTAAAGGCAAATCACTTCTTAAGTTTATTTGAAGGGTGAAGCGAGTTAAAGCATTTAAAATACTTAGAACAATGCCTCGGTTTCAACAAATGCAAAGTATTAATGTGAAAACATCTAAAGGACAAGAAGTGGAATGTAAAACACAGGGGGCTGGCACTGTGGCGTAGCAGGGTAAAACCACCACCTGCAATGCCAGCATCCCATATGGGTGCCAATCCAAGTGCCAGCTGTCCCACTCCATATCCAGCTCCCTGCTGATGGCCTGGGGAAAAGCTGCAGAAGATGGCCCAAGTGCTTGAGCCCCTGCCACCCACATGGAAGACCCTGATGGAATTCCAGGCTCCTAGCTTCAGGGTGGTTCAGCCCTGTCTGTTGTGGTCACTTGGGGAGTGAACTAGGGGACGGAAGGCCTATCACCCCCTCTCTCTTTTACTATTTCAAATAAATTATCTTTTTTTTAAAAAAAAAGATTTATTTATTTGAAAGGCAGAGTTACAGAGAGGCAGAGAGGTTCACTCCCCAAATGGCTGCAATGGCCAGAGTTGTACCAATTCGAAGCCAGGAGCCAGGAGCTTCTTCCAGGTCTCCCATGTGGGGAGACCCACGTGCAGGGGCCCAAGGACTTGGGCCATCTTCTACTGCTTTCCGAGGCTGTAACAGAGCTGGATTGGAAGTAGAGCAGCCGGGACTTGAACCGGCACCCATATGGGATGCTGGCACTGCAGGCAACAGCTTTACCTGCTATGCCACAGCGCCATCCCCTCAAATAAATATTTTAAAAATATAGAATTTATGTTGTTGATGCATCTATATACTTGAATAGTAAATCATATGAATGTATAAATTTAACATGACTGCTATAAAAATAAGTTGACTTTTTTAAAATGATTCTCAAGTTCACAAAGAAAAATAAAAATGGCAGGGCCTGCGGTGCAGTACAGCAGGTTAATGCCCTGCCCTGAAGCGCCGGCATTCCATATGGGCACTGGTTCAATTCCCGGCTGCTCCTCTTCCCATCCAGCTCTCTGTAATGGCCTGGGAAAGCAGAGGAAGATGGCCCAAGCCCTTGGGCTCCTGCACCCGCGTGGGAGACACATTAGAAGCTCCTGGCTTCAGATTGGTGCAGCGCCGGCCTTTGCGGCCAACTGGGGAGTGAATCATCGGTTGGAAGACCTCTCTCTTTGCCTCTCCTCTGTGTAACTCTTTCAAATAAATAAATAAACCTTAAAAAAAAGAAAGAAAAATGGCTTTGGAACTAGGAATGACTTTAACAAAAAACAAAAGTGTAATGTGAACAGAATTTAATGTCCACACCCCCTGGGACTGTAGCGACTCCATTGTTGAACAACTTTGCAAGCAGTGTCCTAGATGTGTATTTTGGGTAATGGTCACCAAATAGTCCACATCCCATCTATCCCCACACCAAACAAGTAATTGTTCACCTCTTATCTTAACGGCATTGTTTCATTACCCCAGGTCTCCAGCTGCTGCTGAGCCAGCTTATTTTATCACTCTGAACTTATGGTAGCTGGAGGGCAGAGGACAAGTTGTATCTTTTCTATCTCACTAAGAATGTCAGGTCTGGGGCTTTGTTCAGCCACTGTTTAGATACTTGCATCCTAAGTTGGAGAGCTACTCTGCACTTTCTTTTAAAAAAGATTTACTTGGGGGGAGGCAGCTATAGCATAATAGGTTAAGCTTTCTCCTGTGTTGCCAGCATCTCATGAGCCCTGCCTGCTCCACTTCTGGCCCAGCTCTCTGCTGATGGCCTGGGAAAGCAGGGGAAGACGGGCCCCTGCACCCATATGGGAGGCTCCTGGCCAGCTCAGCTGTTGCAGCCATTTGGGGAGCGACCAGGTGGGTAGAAGATCTGCCTCTCAAATATCTTCCTAAAAAATTTTGAAAGGCAGAGTTAGAGACCTTCCAGTATCCTGGAACTCTATCCCGGTCTCCTATGTGAGTACAAGGGCTCAAGCACTTAGGCTATCTTCCTCTGCTTTCCCAGTCCCATCGGGGACTCAAACAGCATTCATGTGGGATACTGGCATCCTGGGCAGGGGCCCAATCCACTGCGCCACAACGCTGGCCCTTTGCACTTCTGATCCAGCTTCCTAATGACACCCCTGGGAGGCAGTGGCTAATACCAAGTCTCTGGGTTCCTGCCACCCACCTGGCCTCTCTCCCTCTGTTGCTGGCATTTAGAGAGTGAAACCAGCAGTTACTCTGCCTTCCAAGCAAGTAAGTCAATCTTGAAGGGGAAAAAAAAAAAAAGAGGCTTAGGCACTTGATGAATCACTGGATCTTCCAAAAGTTCATGGAAAATGCATCACAAAAAAAACCTGCATGGATCTCAAAGGGTTTTTGCACCAAAATATTTTAATTACATTTTCCATGAACTTTTTGAAATATCTTCATGCATAGTTTTCTTCCTGTATATACATACCTATGATAAAGTTTTATATATATATAAATCAGGCACTGCATGAAGTTAACAATGTAGCAATATTCAATGGCAAGGTGAATTACTTCAGAAATTTTTCAAGTAGTAATTTCTGACCATGATGATCAGATCAGATCCCTGCGGGGTTAGAGAAGCCACAGGTAAAGGGGTACCACTGTACAGCTCCGGCAAATTCTTGGTATGTCTGGACGGATGTTCTGCCTTCTCCCACACCCTGCCCTGTGCATCTCTTCCACCTGGCTGTTCATTTGCATCCTTTCCTTAAAAAAAAAAGACTTCAAAGGCATACAGAGAAAGAGCTCTTCCATCCACTGGTTCACAACCCAAATATCCACAAGAGCTGGGCCTGGGCCAGGCTGAAGCCAGGAACTCCATCAGTGTCTTTTCACATGCGTAGGAGGGGCCTAAGTACTTGAGTTATCTTCTGCTTTCTCAAAAGCATTAACAGACAGCTCAGTCAGATGTGGAGCAGCTGCGACTCCAAATGGCACTCATATGGGATGCCAGCACCCTAAGTGATGATCTAAGTGGCTGTGCCATATCACGGTCCCCCATATGTATCCTTTGTGATATTCTTTACAATAAAATGCCCACCCCCAAGGTTAGTGAGCTGCCCTACAGGCTGAACCCCAAAGAGGTCATGGGAATCCCGACAGAAAGCTGGCAGAAGCACGGGCCACAACATGGGGCTTGCAGCAGGTACCTCAAATTGAGTTCATCCTGTGGGACTAAGTCCTCAATCCACAGGTTTGACACTATGTCTAGGTAAATAGTGTCGGAAATTGACTTAGGGGGCTGTGCAGTGCTGGCATCCCATATGGGCACTGGTTCAAGTCCTGGCTGCTCCACTTCTGATCCAGCTCCCTGCTAATGGCCTGGGAAAGTCATGGAGGATGGCAAAGTGCTTGGGCCCCATGGGAGACCTGGAAGAAGCTCCTGGCTCCTGGCTTCAGGTGGGTTCAGCTCCGGCCATTGCAGCCATTTCAGGAGTAAACCAGTGGATTGAAGATCTCACTCTCTCTGTAACTCAACGAAATAAATAAATCTTGGAAAAAAATTGTATTAGTGAACATCCAGGTGGTGTCTGCTTTGTGTGACAAGAAGCCTCCTGCACACCACTTATCAGTGACCTCTTAAGTTTCATTTTCCTTCCATCTCCTATTTTTGACATCTTTCAGGAAGCTAATATATACAAGTACCCGTGTTTTTGCTTTCAAACCTCACCTAAATGCACAACAAAGTTCCCTTCTGGTGGGACAATACCACTAAGTATTAGAATGCAAATATTTACATTCTAGGAATGTGATGAATTATTGCCTGGGGTCTGGTTCATTGGCTTAGTGGGCTAAGCCTCTGCCTGCGGCACCAGCATCCCATAAGGGCACCAGTTCAATTCCCGGCTGCTCCTCTTCCTATCCAGCTCTCTGCTGTGGCCTGGGAAAGCAGAAGATGGCCCAAGTCCTTGGGCCCCTGCACCCATGTGAGAGACCTGAAAGAAGCTTCTGGCTCCTGGCTTTAGATCAGCCCAGCTCATTGCTACATCATTTGGGGAGTGAACCAGCTGATGGAAGACCTCTCTCTGTCTCTCCTTTCTCTAACTCTCTCAAATAATGTTTTTTAAAAAGTCATTGCTTGTACACAGCAAGAATCATGAGCAAGATTTTTTAAAAACCCAAATAGGTCAATTTTAATTAGTTCTTCTATGTACACGTTTATCTACTACTGAAAATTGAAACAGCACGAAATTTCCTTTTATTGCAATTCAAACATTTGAAAACCAGAACATCTAATTATCTGTCCTAATTATGCTCTAGACAAAACATCCAATGTTTTCTTTACATTCCTTTCCCACAAGTCACTTTGCACAGCTCTTGGTGCTGAGTTTCATCTCACTGCCTTTAGTCTTCTGAAACACATGGGAATACATGGAACTTATTGGTTTCTCTGAGTCAAACCAGAAAGACAAAAAAACTAAATGATATTGAAAGTCATTCAACTACATTCAAACTACAGATTCCATATAAATCACTGGTACCAAGGTAGGAAGAGAAAGAATTACAACTAATATCACAGGTCATCAAAATTATTGGTATACAAGTTTCTTAGCATAGTGTTCTACTGTATAAAATTACTAGCAAGAACAGTAAAATAGAGATTATGCTTAAATTGACTCTTTGTCATAATCCATTCCTATTCTAGCATTCTCCGATGGATCCCATCCATGAGCTAGGCAGTAACTGCAGCAACATCTGAATGGCTCACTTCTTGATTCACTCTAAAAAATAAAAATAAAAAATAAACAGATTAATTGGGATACTGAACCTCAAAGAAATGTAACAGGGGCCAACTTTCTGGTGCAAGTTAAGCTACCACCTGTGACAACAGCAGCCCCCATGGGTGCCGGCTCAAATCCAGGCTGCTCCACTTCTGATGCAGTGGCATGCCAATGAGCCTGGGAAAGAAATGGATGACCGCCCGAGCACTCGGGTCCCTGTCACCCACATGGGACACCCAGATGGAGTTCCAGGCTCCTGGCTTTGGCCTGGCCCAGCATGAGCAGTTGCAGCCATTTGGGGAATGAACCAGCAGAGGAAGAGCTATCTCCCCTGTGCTCTCTGTAACTCCGCCTTTCAAGTAAATAAGCCTTAAACAAGAACAAACATGACTGTTTTCCAGAGTTCCCGCCAGTTCAGGAAGTTCAACTCCCCCTTTTTTCTTCCCTCAAACAAAAGGAAACCAGATACCCACCCACACTTTTAGCAAAAAAAAAAAACTATTTACCTTAACTTCATTAGGATCATCTCTGCTTTGTTTTTTAACCTTCATGGGGAAAAAAAAATAAGGACGATTAAAAACTAGCAAGAAAAAGACTCATTTCCACATCTACCCGGAGCGAGTGAGGACTGTAAACAGCACCAGGTTCCGTCCAGGACCAGCAGCTGCTGTTCACCACTCCCTGCACCTGTGCCCCTGGGAGGGCACAGATGCTGGTTACCCAGCAGCCCCATGCACACCACAGGAACCCACCTGTGAATACTGGTACGTTAGGAGGAATCTCAGTTTGGCCAGTCGCTCTCTCCGCTCAGATAATATTGTCCTTACGCCTCTCCTCCTCTGGGGCCTCTGGAATACCATCTTGACAACTCTGTCAGACTGTCGAGGTGGCACTTCCGGTGCAGGGGAAGTTTTTGTGGCAGAAGGGTTGAGTGTCAATTTGCTGAGGTTCTTTGTTAACATTTCTGGGACAGAGAATGAGATTGTGGAAACAGAAAGTTAATGTCTGGCATCATCCAGAAGTGCTCCACCCTCAGACTAGGTCTCCTTGTCTGCATATGAATAATGACCTACATGGGAGGGGTCTCCAGCAGAGGAGCACAGGAAAAATATCTAGTCACTGGTCTTCAAAGCCAATTAAGAAACTAAATCAATCTGAGAGCCGGCACAGGGAACATGGCAATAATCCTCTGATCACTAGCAAGCAAAGAGACTCATATTCAGCAGTTTCTCCTAGAATCCTTAGCCTTAAGCTAAATAGCAAAGTTAACATGGCTGTTATCTCTCCAGTTAGACCTAACAGTTACCCAGCTCCTACATGCTATCAGATCTCTGCTCCCACCCAGCATTTTGGGAAATCAACCAGCCATTCCTGCCTCTTCTCATCTGAACCATTTATAACCTACCCATACTCAATCTCATACAACAAGGCGGCTACCATCTTCATATGTGAAAATATTATGGAGGTTGAGATGGATTCAACTCCTTGGGTCTTGTGCACATGGAATCTCTCCTTTCAGAAACTTCAAGTACCGAAGCCCACTCAAAAGAGTGAGGATATTGTTTAAGTAATCTCTTCAATTTTTTCCCTACTCGAATATACCAACCAGGATTCTTATCTCAAGAGACATGGGATTTGTACTTAAAAAGCCCTTGCCTCTACTGCCGTTCTATGGTCTTTTTTTTTTTATTTGTTGAACTCTTCATTGGAACATTAAACCCTTGAGTACAAAGTAAATTAAAAATGTTATCTCAAAAATAACAAAATATTAAGGGAAAAAAAAATTCAAGGGCTGCAGACAGCACGGGGCTCACGTATCGAAGGTCCTACTTCCTAACTGCTCTGTGGGTGGGTGGGGGTATTGGCTCTAGGGCAACTGCCACCAACCAGCCTACCACCCAGGTAGCCATTAGCGTAAGATTTCAGGAGAGGTGGATGCACCTCCCTGGCCAAGTCTGAGAATGGTTGCTACCAAGAAATGAAAAATGTGGTCTGCTACAGGAAGATCCCAAGATGAGACCCAACCGGCAGTATTCCCACTCAAAAGAAAAATAAAACAGCTCTCCAGGCTGCCTTCTACTACTTAGATTGTAGAGAACAACCACTGGTTCTGATAAATCCACTCCATCCCTCCATTTCCCCTTAAAAACCATTTTCTGGTTTATTAAAAATCCTGTAGATTTGGCTGTAAAGCCAAATCCTGAGTATATTGGTGAAAGAGTATGAAAAACTTCTAAGTTGAAGTCTAAGTTTCTTCTATGTGCCTCTTTCTTGTCCCTGACACAGGACAGTACTTCAGAGTGCATGGAAAAATGGAATTAAAAGGTCAGTTAATCTTCATGCAAAAACATTTTGAAATTCACGCACTGTTTCACCATACGTATTTTCCATGAGCTTTTTAAAGTACCCGAATATGTTCTTGTTAGGGGAAACAGTGACCCACTGAGGCTCCTGATTGCCTCTACCAAAAACCGAACTTAAAGTCAGACTAATATTACTAAGCATAGTGAAAAAATAATGCAGTCTCACTGCCGGCCGCCCCACCCCGCTTTCTCTTCCACAGTTCTCCCACTGGAATTACCAAGTGTCCTGACCCCCCTCTCGTTTGAGACTTAACTCTTGAAAAGACAGATTAAATGAGAAATGAAGGCAGGCTTCAACTTCCCAAACCCCCTGCACCCAAGAAAGGCACACGTAGCCTACCTGAATCCTGAGAATTTTTTCCCATGGAAATCCAAAAAGATTCTGCGGACAAGGTTGGGTCAGGCTTTTCTGGTGAGCCCATAGCAGTCTGGCGACAGCTCCGCGGTGTTTGGCTCTCAGGTAAAGGAGTGCTGGGCTCTCTAGTTACTCCAAGGGAGCCCGAAGAGAACTAGAGAGACAGAAAGCGCAGCCTCCAACAGAGAGGTGAAGTGAGCCACCTAAAAAAAAGTAAGGTCTGGTTTCCTTTTAAACTCTTGATAAGCCAATCTTCCAGGCTATTTTAATGTTAATGATGCAATGATTAAAGGATCAAATGATTAAAGGTGAGTGGGTGTAGCCTGGACCAAGAGGATAACTCTCCATCTGCTCTGCATTAAAATAATCATATCCTCTGAAATCTGCTGGAAAATTTATGAGACCTCTCTCTCTTGTGCTTGTGTCTCCCAAAAGTTGCCTTAAATATCAGGTTTTTTTTTTTTTCCTCCTCAAACTCTACTACTGGAGATCACTACAGGTTTGGGAACTGGGTTTAAATACAGTAGAGCAGTGAGGAGAGTGGCAGTTTTCCCCCAATTGCTGATTAAATCCCAATTAAGTGAACTGAGAAAGTTTTCAAGTTTTCCTTGCCCGACTCATCTTAAACTCTGGAGCGGTATCCCTTATCTGCAGCAAAGGGAAGGCAGAGGGAAGCAAACAAGTATCTGTTGTACACACTTCAATGCCTAGATTCTTCTAGACGTTAATTTTTGACCTGTAATTTGTTTCCTAGGCTATACATTTAATCTACTAACATTTCTGAACAAGTGAAATTAGCTTTATAAATTGCTACCACCTTCACACCAAAAAAGCTCTTGTTTTGAGTTCTAGCAAAGCGCACCAGCATTAAGCACTGATGGCCTGCAGCAGGCAGGGTGAGTCCCCAGCAGCCCCTCTCAACTTCCCTCGCAGTGTGCACCCTTTCCCCATTACTCCTTTAGCTGAAGACTGAAAAAATACCGAGACGATCTCGCTTGGTTTTTGGTAAAAGACAAAAATTGATGCTATAAGAACTGTTTTTGTTGGAGATGGAGATCGTAGGCACACATCATGTCACAACAATTTATTGAGATGGTTCTCACACGGTCTCCAGACAAGCAGGCAGAGTCGTCACCACCTGGTTTACCGGCTTGCGAAGCAAATTCTCAAGCCCCACCCCAGGCCCATTACATCAAAGTCTGCACTCAGCTTTCCGACAAGCCCTCCAGGTGAAGCTCCTGAGGCGTGAGAAAGCGGAAGCAGCTCTGCTTTACGGCAGATCAACTTTTTAAGACTGCGATTCAGCACGGCTGTTCTTGCTAGAACTTCCCTCAGGTACAGGAGGGCGTAGGTAACCCAGGACCCTCGAGCTTCCTCCCAGTCTCCCACGTGCGTGCAGGGGCCCAAGGACTTGAGTCATCCTTCGCTGCCTTTCCAAGCGCATTAGCCAGGAGCTGGGTCAGAAATAGAGCAGCTGGGACTCAAACCGGCACCCGTTTGGGATGCTGGCATAGCAGGTTGTGGCTTTACCCACTATGCCATGACCCTCACCCCAGCATGTTTTTTCTTTATATGAGATGGGACAAAAAGCCAAACAAAATGCAACAACTTGAAAGATTATAATAGAACATCTCAAGGAAATTATCACTAATTTCTTCAGAGATGAGAAATCCTTCAATAATTTTGAAATAAATATTATTTTTAAGAAATAGCGGCCAGCTTTGTTTCGTAAAGGGTTAAGTCGCCTGTCTACAATGCTGGTATCCCACATGGGCTGCTTTACTTCCTATCCAGCTCCCAGCTAATGCTCTTGGGAAAGCAGCAAAGGATGGTCCACATGGGAGACCAGAAGAGGCTCCAAGCTTCTGACTTTGGCCTGGGTGAAACCCAGCCATTGTGGTCATTTGGGGAGTGAACTAGCTGATGGAAGATATTCCTCTCCCTTTCTCTCTGTAACTCTGCCTTCCAAATAAATAAAAATTTTTTAAGGCACTGGGAGATAGCAGTTCCTAGGAAGAGGAGTAAGAAGTTAGGAGAGAGCAACTAGGAAACTGTCCCAACTCATTCCAGAGCCTGAGTTCTTTCCAATGAGGGGCTTCTTTACAGATACCAAGAGCTGTTAATGTTTCAAAGGAATAGTGTTATTTATTATATGCAAGAAAAGGAGAAACCGGCCGGCGCCACGGCTCAATAGGCTAATCCTCCACCTAGCGGCGCCGGCACACCGGGTTCTAGTCCCGGTCGGGGCACCGGATTCTGTCCCGGTTGCCCCTCTTCCAGGCCAGCCCTCTGCTGTGGCCCAGGAGTGCAGTGGAGGATGGCCCAAGTGCTTGGGCCCTGCACCCCATGGGAGACCAGGAGAAGCACCTGGCTCCTGCCTTTGGATCAGCGTGGTGCGCTGGCCGCAGCGCGCCAGCCGTGGTGGCCATTGGAGGGTGAACCAACGGCAAAAGGAAGACCTTTCTCTCTATCTCTCTCTCTCACTGTCCACTCTGCCTGTCAAAAAAAAAGGAGAAACCAATTTATCAAACAACTCAGTTTGTTATAAGTCAATTAACATCACAACTATAAACCTCTGCCAGAGTGTCCATTCCACAGAACACTGGAGCGACACAGCAGAGAATTTCAGAAAGTTCATAGAAATTAAAAGATAACTACATGTTGGTACAAAAAAGTTTTTGAAATCCATTCCTATAAGGGGTCTTCTAAAAGTTCATGCAAGTTGTGTGTTAGGAAATAACATGGATTTCAAAAAAATTTTTTTGCAGCAAAATCTTTTTCTTTTCCATGAAATTCCAGTGTGTCTAGCTAATATCAATTTCTTGGATGCTACGTGATTTACTGTTTACTGCCTGGATGGTTTCTACTTGTTCCTTCGTGTTTTCATTCCCCTCAATGGAAGACAAAGTGGGACAGCTGGAAGAAGCTGGAATGTTGAGCAAAATTTAAAAAAAAAAGAGAAAAAAACTTTTTTTTTTTTTAAAGATTTGATTTTATTTATTTGAGAGAGAGATATAGAGAAAGGTCTTCCGTTGTTTCACTCCCCAAATGGCCACAATGGCTAGCCGAAGCCAGGAGCCTCTTCCTGGTCTGCCATGCAGGTGCAGGGGCCCAAGCACCTGGGCCATCCTCCATTGCTTTCCCAGGCCACAGCAGAGAACTGGACTGGAAGAGGAGCAACCGGGACTAGAACCAGCGCCCATATGGGATGCCAGCGCCACAGGCAGAGGATTAACCTACTGCGCCACAGTGCCAGCCCCAAGAAAAAAACTTTAAGAAACTGCAAATTCAAGTTAAACTTTTTCTAAAAAAGGGGAAGATTCCCACTAATCTTTTTTGCCCTAGAACAGAACATGTTAGGCCCAGCTCACAAATCCAGAGTGTTTTTAGGAAGCCTAAGAGGTGTAACTAGAAGACAGATTCTTACATTTTCCAACATAATTGTGGAGGGTGTGATTTTTGAAGGGATAGAATTAGAATCTTTTCACTCTCAATCTCCATACTGACCCACCTTTCAGTATTTCTTTCAGTCAATGAATGGTTCATTCACTTTAAAATGGGCTGGAAGATGGGTTTATTTGGTAGGCTAAAAGGGGGTAGGAATGAATGTCTAGGCCAGCTCCACCTTCCATTTATTGGAAATCTGCTCAAATTGGGCTGAAGATTTTTTCAGATAAACCTGCAGCAATTTTGGAGCCCTTAAGGGCAACTTTCCACCAGACAAGGGTGGGGCAATCAAGCCCTCAGGCAATGTAAGCCCTCGAAATCATTTGGTCTTACCCTCCCTGCCAAGGCAACCACAGGCAGGACTTGCAATCAGCAAATCATAGCGGCTAATTTTTAAGTTGATCATTTTGAATAGCCTGTGAATGATGTCATAAATACCCAAAGGACCCTGAGCAGAAAAAATGTTTCCCTAGATCTGAGAAAAGCTTCAAGCTAGACCTCCATGGACCTGCCACCACAGTTTAGCTCAACCTTGACTCTCAAAATTCCAAGTTGCCCAAGGAAGAAAAGTCCTAGACAGACACAGATAAACCAGATAACTGTGTTAATAACAAGGGTTTGGGGACTTGGTAGTCCTTGTAGAGGAATATAATAAGTGAACTTCCTCAATCCAGAAGAGGGAACAGCATGGGTTCCTCCAGTGGCAAAGCAAGTGGGCAAAGAGAAAAAGGATTGAGGGTGAAAATGCTCTCAGGACACTTGGAGTCCTGAGTCATTTTTGGAGTCACAGTCCAAATCCACTGGGGTGGACTGGGAACAGGCATCAAGGCACAGTGGGTTAAGCCTCTGCATAAGACTCCTTCATCTCACATCAAAGAGCTTGTCTGGAACCTTGGTTCCTCTGTATTCCACCCAGGCTCCTGAAAAGCACCTGGGAAGCAGCAGATAATGATGACTTGGATCCCCGCCACCCATGTGGGAGACTTGGATGGAGCTCCTGGCACTTGGTTTCAGTCTGGCCAACCCTGGCTGTTGGCAGGCATTTGGGAAGTGAGCCAGCATAAGATCTCTCTGCGTCTCTGTCTCTCTTTGCCATTCAGCCTTACAAAAAAATCTTAAAAAAAAAAAAAATCTGTGCGGGCCGGGACAAAGCCTACACAGGAATTGCATCAGGTTTTTGCCATCAATAAATGCCAGAAGTAGAAGAAACAAAATACACTTATACTGCAATACATTACAAACTTCAGTTGAATTCAGAGATCATCTTAAAAATTCTCAGCAATCTGTGAAGTTGGCTTTCTAGCTAAATAGACCTTCCAGGCTTGTTAAACCATGAAAGTACTTTTAATATTCTAATCTGTCTCAGGAAGGTAAATTGATACTGATTCTACTTTCTGTCTTATCAGCTGACTCCACCTTTTGTCTGCAGGAACCTTGAGAGCTCAGATATTGAGACGAGTCACAGGCAAAATGAGATTTACCCTCATGGAGCATGCATTCTGGTTGAGACTGCAAGAAATCGTGGATCCCAAATATATGCTCAGGTAGTGGTAAGCCTGACAGGAGGAGAGGAGGCTGCTGTGGTTTTTGTTTTTATTATGCGAAAGGCAGAGCAACAGAGAGAGGAAAACACAGATACACTCAGATATTCCACCTGTTGGTTCACTCCCCAAATGCCTGCAACAGACAGTGGGAAGTCAAGAGCTTGGAACTCCAACTTGATCTACATAGGTTGTAGGGTCTAGGCCATTGTGCCATCTTCTGCTGCTTTCTCAGAACCATTAGCG